AGACACACGATGGTCACGGCGAGGTACCGCACCCCGAACCCCATGCCGGTTGTGCTGTACCGCAGCGCGGGCGTGCGGCGCGGGCGTGCCTACCCACTCGGCGCCTACCTGTAGACCCCCATGACGGCGCGGGTGCGTCAGCGCGTCAGCGTGGCCTGGCCGCCGGCGTGCTCCTGCGGGGGCCACTGCCTGCCGTGTCCGTGTCCGACCCCGAGGGGGCCCGGGCCGGGGGGCCGTGGGGGCGCAAACCTTGTTGCTACGGCGACTCAACCTTGTTTCCGCCACCCTGCCCCATCGCCTGTCTGGCGAGGGGAGCGAGCATCGCGGAGCTGCTCGTCTGTACTATCGCGGGGGAGGAAAGGGTTGCGTGGGCGGGCGGTGGAGGAGGGGGGGTGCGGGGTGTACCCGGAGAACGAGTGGAGCTGTGTGTGTAGGGTACAGAGCCATTTGTGTGGCGTATGGCACGTCAATGCAATGCGGGAACCGGAGACCCGAGGAGGCGTGAAGGTGGCAGCGGGAATCGAACGAATGGAACATACGGAGAGCAGGCTCTGTCGGAGGTGAGGGAGGGAGGGGAGGGGGCAAGCTTCAACAATATAACTTTCAAATAATGCTCAGCACGTCGATAAGAGCAACAGTGGTGGGGGCGAGCTTTCTGCTAAGCGGCAGCCAAGAGACGAGGGGGCCGCGGGACAAGGCGGGCAAAGCGGGCACGATCCATCAGGCGGAGCACGGCCCCGCGCCGCCCGCGATGACGTCCCCACGACACGCCAACCTGCACCCCTGTGCTTGCGGCTCGGGGACATTTCCGCACTGGAGCGGAGCGTCGCGTCCTCGTCCGAAATACACTCTCCCTCCACCGCGACGAAAGAGTGGGGGTAAACGACCCTTAAATCGGTACACAGCGTTCCCTGTTACTCCCTCTCTTTCTCCCCAACCCCTCGCCCCGTCACATCCCCCTTCCTCTCCGCCTGCCGTTCATAGGGGTTGACACGCCCCCGTCGCCCAGTGGGGGGCGGCGCACGAGATGTCAGAGTGTGTCGGAAGCCAGCGATGGGAACGGGGGCCCGCGTCGGAGGGAGCGAGTCCGTGCCGGGCCACCCTGGCGAGGCCGGCGAGGCCAGCGAGGCCCGGCCGACAATCGGATTCGTGGGCGGGACCTGCTTCCGTTTCCGCCGGCCACACGGTCGCCCTGCGCCGAGATGAAGTCGTCTCCCTAGCCGACGACGCCGCGCGCGATGGCAGCCGTGGCCGCTCGACGGTCGGCGTCCGCGCAAAGATCGGCGTCTGCGCGGACGCTGGACGTCAGGACGGGCTCGTACTCTGAGCCGACCCCGTCCACCTTGTCCAGGGAGCTGTCCTTCTCCAAGACAGTCTCTTCGGCTGATGCCTTCATCGACGTCGTCCCCGAAGGTAGATGAACGAACTCCACCCACCTCGCAGCAGATTAGCGCGATTAGAGAGCTCACTCGCGCGAGTGTTTGGGATTGTTGAAAATGAACAAAACTTTAAAGCGTGAAGAAATAATGAAAATCTTAACTGAATTGCGTGTTTAGGAGAAAAGTAAAGCCCCCATACTGTGAAATAAGGAGGCGGCGCGCGTGTCGGGGAGCGAGCGAGGGAGCGACCTCTCTAATCGCGCTGCAGGCTCCGCCGCAATCCGAGCCAGGTGGCTGTCGATTCGCCCCGGGGCCACTTCCGTAGTTTGACTTTAACGCACGTACCCCGTGCACGCGTGCGTGTGGGTTGCGTATTTTCTCGGGCCGTTATGGAGCATCCACACCACGTCTGCCGTTACGAAACTGACCATTCCAGCCAATGCCAGCTCCCATAGCGCCTGATCGGTAGGCAACATCTTGCATTCAGTGCACGCGTGCACTGCTGGGATGCCTACCCTGATTTTCGCAGGCGCCGAGCTCCTGTAATTTGCCTAACGAATCTGGAAAAAAGTGGACGCACTTTCTGGACGATCCCTAAGGCGCCCTGGTCAGAGACGACAGATGACGTACGGACACCGCGCGCGTGCGGGGCGGGTGGTACAACAGAACTACGAAAGTGAACGCGACGAATCACCCACCTGGAAGGCACACCCTGACACAGTCGTCACCGTCTGCATAGCGCTGTCTTATGAGGAGCTGGAGGAGGCGGTGACGCTGCTCGTGAAGGCCAACCTCATGCTGCGCCTGGAGAACGAGATCTTCCACGATAAGCTGTACATGGATACCCCCGACCTGCTTGCAGGTAGGAAAGAGGCAGCGTAGGACAAAAACTTTCATTTTAGTTCAAATAAATGCAGACCTCGTCTTTCGGTAATAACGTGTTATTTTGGGGGGAGTTGGGTTTTGCAGGCTTATCAGAGATTATCGAGCTCGAGAAGAAAGAGGAGGCAATCGCTCAGCAGGCCTCGCCCAAAGCCGAACAGGAAACGGGTGGGGTCGAGCCGGAGAGCGAGCACAAGTTGGAGAGCTTGCACAAGCAGGAGAGCGTCAAGCTGGAGAGCGTGCACAAGATGGAGAGCTTGCACGAGGAGGACGGCGAGTCCGGGTCCCCGACGCCAACCCCACCACCGTCACGGTCCCTCAGCCGCTCCGACGAGCCCCCGCGGGCCCGCTCCAGGATAACGTTGTCCGCGGTCTCGGACACGCTCAGCAGCACCGCCCGCCTGTCGGCCATCCGCGCGAAGGCCGCCGCCAAAGCCTCGGCCCGGGCCTCGGCCGCCAAGGCCAAGAGCAGCAAGACGGGGTCTCTGGACAGGGTGCCCAGGTGAGCGTCAGCTCGCACAGCCAGTTAGCGATATTCAGTGTAGAATAGCCTTCGAATATCAACATATGTTGTTGATTCCGGTGAGAAAGTCGACACGGCGTCGAAGTCGGTAGTTTGTCACTGGGGCGGGCCTGGACGCGTAGTGGTGATGTCACTCGATGCGCTCGCTCCTGCAGGATGAGCTTCAGCCAGCGCATGGACCTCGCGGAGGAAGCCACCCACCTGACGACGCAGCGGACGCAGCAGCTCGTCTCCCGCGCCGAGGCCCAGGCCGCGGACCTGCGCGCGCGCGCCGAGGAGGCCCAGGTCCGCCTTGGGGAGACGCTCGCCGCCTACCACTCGCTCGACACGGGCGTCACGGACAAGGCCCAGGGCGACGCGCACGTCAGCGGCAGAACGTCCGGGGAGAAGCTCAACAGGTGAGTGCCGGCCGAGGCGGGGGCTGGGTCCTGGGTCTCCAGGGTGGTGCGCCTTACCCGAGCTCCCCTGCCGCAGGTACATGACGGACTGGGTGAAGCAGGCCGACGCCACCATCGACAGGATACGGCTCAAGGTGAGCTCGCTGCGCGCGCACCACCGGCGCGTCCGGGAGAACATCGCCGTCAAGCGGGAGCTGGGCGACGCGCTGCGGCCCGTCGACTTCGACAAGATTCGCATCGAGATCGAGGAGCTGAACCGGAAGATCGAGAGCAACAGCCAGCACCTGAACGACCTCAAGGGCATCTCCGGTGAGTTTGCAGCGCGGGTAGCGCGCTGCAGGGAAGTCCATTCAGAGCTCACGCCCAGCCTTGCTTCCCGTGCCCAGGCAGCGCCACGTCCAGACTCCTCGCCGGCAAGAAGCGCTTGTCGGACCTCAGCAAGCACCTCGAGGCCATCCGAAAGGAGACCGCCGCCAAACGGAACCAGAAAGCGGCCCTGGAGCTTGAGGAGCAGAAGGTGAGTCCGAAATAACATTGAATTTCAATTGTACCAGTTGCGTTCCCCTAGCCTAATTGATGCGACTTTCGTCGTCCTATCTCTGCCTACTCCAGGTGCTGGAGGATGTGGGCAGAGCTGACACGGCGCTGAATGCGGTGCGCATGCGGATGGAGAGGCACACGGTGAGCAAACTCTATTCACCCTTCGGTCCCGCTTGTGGGCGGCGGCGCGACGGTCGTGTGGGTGGCGACGCAGTGCGGCGGCGTGGCGAGTGCTCTGTGCTCTTTTGGGGCACAGCTTTGAGCAAACAGTTGCGTCCGTCCTCACACGTCCCCAGACACTCGCTGAGTGACGAGGCATGATGACGACGCTAAGGAGACTCTCGGTGTGCACGCAGGCGCCGGACGTGCTGGTGTACGTGCGCCTCAAGCAGGACCTGGACCTGCTCCGTCGCGACGTGGTGGTCTGGGAGCGGCGGTGCAAGATCCAGCAGCAGACGGCGCGGGACCTGCGCCGGGCCATGGGTAGAGCCAGCACCAGCACAAGGGCCGTGCGGGGCGCGGGCGGCGAGGGGCCGGCGGTGCCGGGTGGAGGCCACGGCCGCAGGGGCGGGCACGCCGCCGAGGAAACGACCAACGACGCCACGGACTCGTCTTCGGGCAGGGCAGGCCCACCGACGTCCGCACCCAGAAGGCGGAGGCCGCGTCGTCGGCAAAGTCAGAGTCGCGGCCGCGCGCACGCACCGAGCAGCAGCAGCAGCAGCGCCTGCGGGAGCGGGCCAAGTGGCAGAAGCAGCAGCTGCAGTAGCCGCCACAGCAGCCAATCTACCGGCTAGGTAGAAACCAGGGTAAATTTGACAAGCAATCGAAGAAAGATGAGTAGATAAACTTTTTAATGAAAAACGATTACATATCTTTCATAAACAACATGGGTTATAAACATCACAGCATAATATTTTTTGGCACTCAAATAATAATTAGGAGATCAAGGCACAAAGATTTTTTTAAAAATTATAAATGGAATGAGAGGCAAAGAAACCAAATAATATCACCATTAGAGCTTAAATTTAACTTATGGCATAATAATCTCTGATGAAAACTTGTCCATTTGGCAGATAGCATGTGCCATTCATCTATTCAAATACTGTGATTTATCTAGTCTAGCCTAATAGTGAAAGCTTTGTGTTAGCCTTCGTGGGCAAGGTATATTATGATGATACATGAGTATTGAAGGACTAAGTGCTGGTTCTCTACATTGTAGTGGAATATCATTCCAGATAATTACAATTTTCTAAGGAGTGCGATCTGCAGTATATGGAAAGCAGAATTATTTAAGATTGTGGCACAATTGAATATTGTCCTGCTTAAGTCTTTGGGAATTTACACTTCAGCATTAGAAAAAAAAATGCTAAAAGGATAAGAACACAGAACATCCTGCATTCAATTACACATTATCACAGGCAGGGATAACACTGTAGTTAGGAGCCCCCATCCCCAAACATGGATTAACCACAATGCCACTTGAATGGCAAATGTAGTACTTATCAAAAGCTAAGGTAAATGCACAATTGAAGAGCAAAAATTAAGACTAACCCCAACATGATCAAGTATAACAAAATACATACCAGATGAGATGTAAAACTTGATGTAACACAGCTGGAAAAATATACCTACGCATGTCAGTAACGTGAATTACTTTCATGCAAAAACTGGAAGCACTCTAATAAAGAGTCACTAATAAAAATAAAAGCATGTGGTATGTTACGACTAGAATCTAAACATAATAGTTGAAAAGTATACAATACAATACTGACAAAAAGGCAGGATAAGGCAGATAGGAAGATTATATAACAAATTAGAAAAATGCTTGTGAATACGGTAGTCTGCGTAAAATATGCAAAAAAAAGAAGATATAAATGGGTGCACCCAATACAAAACTATTTAACGCCAGCCAAACAATAATACAGATGAAATTTAAGCAGGCTAATACATAGTTTGTTTGAGGAGCACAGGGCTCAGTAACAGAAATCCTAATGTAGTAAAAAGGAAAGTTTGTTTTTCATATCATATGACAGTTTGTTTTTAAGTTTTCTAATCAATTTTCACTCTTACAAATCCATTGGAGCTGCATAAGAAAACCCAGCAAAAATATCATCTGCTTCACGTACACTTGCAGTTAATATGCTTGTCGTTGAATGTGAACGGGCAACTGAACTAGAAACTGCTTCTCTTGTAAATTCTGGGTCAATGTGACGAAGATCAAATACTTCATGCTAGAAGATGAGAATTGTATTTTTAGTTACAGTATATTCAGTTCACACAAAAAATAAGTGAACCTCAAAATGACACATACCACATTGGGATTAAAAGGCGGGCGAATCTTTTTATTGTAAAGGTCTTCCCAGTTGATAGGCATGAAAAATGAATGCATCTTCAGTGTCTCTAGATCTCCTTCTGCATATCCTAGACGCATTCTCGGATCCTTCTCTAATAGCTTCAAAAATGCAAAATAAATAAATAATTAGGATTAAAGGGGTACACATTACAATACCTGGTGAAGTTTTAAGAACATCTCTCATTTTTTTACCTACCTGGCATAAAAGATCTCTTGCACTTTCAGAAATACCAGAGCGAAGTGTTAAAGGCTTATTCAGAATACGTTCATACATTTCAGAAGTATTGCGGCTGTAAAATGGAGGAAGTCCATACAGCATTTCATATAGAACAGCACCCAAGCACCACCAATCCACAGCTCTTCCATATGGCTGTTAACACAAATATGAGTTTTAAGAAAAAAAAGAGGAGACATTGACATTTTAAGAAAATGGAAAGCAATAAGAGATGAAATACAATAAAACACACACCTCTTTTCTAATGATTTCAGGAGCTAAGTATTCTGGAGTTCCACAAAAGGTATGGGTTGTTTCTACACCCATGAGGTCACCAATTTCCTTGGATAAACCAAAATCTGTCAAAACAATGTGACCTTGACAATCAAGAAGGATGTTTTCTGGTTTTAGATCTCGGTATACAACATTTAAAGAATGAAGGTATCCAAGAGCTAAAGAAATTTCACCAGCGTAAAATCTTGCTCTGCTTTCAGGAAAAGTTCGTTCACGTTGCAAGTGAAAGAAGAGCTACAACAATAAAACATATTTAAAAGCTTACTCATGGAAAAAATCTATTTAGGGTATCTATTGCACAAACCTACCTCTCCACCATTAACATAATCCATGACAAAATATAATTTGTCAGATGTTTGGAAGGAGTAATGGAGCCCAACAAGAAAAGGATGGTGGACATTTTTTAGCAATATATCTCTTTCAGCCATGACGTGGCGGACTTCATTTTTGCGCAAGATCACTCTTTTACTGAGGATCTTTATTGCATAGTATTTTCCCTCAGAACAGTGGCGAGCTAAGAGTACTTTTCCATAGCTACCCTTTCCAATCACTCGCAGGAATTCAAAATCTTTAGGCTTTGCACTGTTAATATCACAAGGAAAATAATTAATAAAGAAATGGAAAATTGGATATGATTTAAAACAGTGATGTACAACTCTTACTAAAGGCGTTCTGAAGGTCCTAGGTTAAGTTTGTTCATTTTTTCTAGAGCATCAATTCCCTCACTGTTATCTTCCAGCTCTACATCTCCTTCCGAACTCAACTTGCGTCGATCAAGCTGAAGGAAAGCTCTTACTTCGGGTCTAGAGAAAAACAAACAGTTATTCAAACCCCAACAGAAATTAAAATTAAAAGATATAAGAAAAATAAATTTAAAAATTCCTAGGTTTTAGTTAATTTTTAAAGACATACATTTCAAGAAGCTTTTTGTCTTGCATAAGTTGCTGTAAGAACGTGTCAAGACCTTCTTGTCGAGAAGCAATAAATTGAGGATCCAAATTATTCCCAAATAGCTTTTTGCCAGGCAGCTTCAACTGGAGTCCAGGAACCTGTTCAATTAGATTGAATAAAATTTTGTGAAGCTCATGTAGAAATTTAGGCGAGATACTATTGATGGAAAACATCATCTAACCTGTTTGCGAAGTATATCAAAGAGTTTATAAAATTCATTGTAGCGGCGGAAAACAAACCATGAATCATTGTCTGAAGAAATGGCAACTTTGTACACCTGAAAAATTCATTTAAGAAATTAGGAAGCTATAACTCGGACAAATTTTTCACCATGTTTTATGTCGTGTAGTACCGTAAATTTCTTATCTTCCTCGCGAATTTCAGAGTTTTCTACAGATGCAGTTGTGGATGGCGTACACTCAGGCATATTGGCTGCTAGCATAGTCCCAAGACAAGTTGAATTTCTACCAAAACCAAGAGATGGTAGCCATTGATGAGATAGAACAGACACACCTGTAACAAAGAGTCACAAAAATTGATCAGATGTTGGAGGCTAAGCAGTAATTTACAATCATAATTTTAAAACGTAACAGTATTTTATGGAGAACTACATGGTTCTGAATAATTTATATTAATTCAGACCTGAATCTTTGTTTTTAATGTCACCCACTAAAGTCAAAAAGTCAAGCATGGCTACAAAAGTAGACTTCGATGAGGCATGGATTCCAAAGAATACTGCCTCAGAGAACGGTGAGGAACTGAATGAGAGCAAAGATTGATAGACATCAAGTGCAAAACAAACAAAACCAAGACTTCTCTGCAGAAGATTGGACTTTGTATCATTCAATTGTGTGCCTCCCCACTACAAGCTAAGAAAAACCGGATGGTGTTTGATGATATGATAAATTATTAAGAGACTTGCCATACAGCAAAATTGAAAATCTACATTTTAAACGATTTTCAAAATATATAACACGAGAGAGTGGTGAAGGGGTGTGGAGAGGAAAAGAAGTCTTTACATGAGATCTAGACAATACACATTTTTCACTTCAGAGTAAAGGCAAATAATAATAAAGTACCAAGCTTAATTAAGACCTATGGGTACTTATTCTGACAGCTTCATCTACAAATTAAACCAGTGCACTGTTAAAAATCAAAAAGAAATATACTGAAGTTGTGTTTGACAAGTCTTTGGAAGATCAGAGGGAGGAGTGGCACGGAATGGAATAGGAATATACTGATTCACAACAAATATCAAAGCCCTATAATGTAAAAAAGTGATATAAGACATTTTCATAAAAGAAAACCCAAAAATGTACTGACCACTTCAGCTATCATCTGAGTCCACACGTCATCTGAGCACTAAAAAAAAGGTTCAGAATGCGAGAACAAATACAGATATCTTGAAGTGTCGTGATGTTTGACAACGCTTTTGCAGCGAGAACACGGCCGATTTCTCAAGGTAGCGCTGCGGTTAAGTGAGTATGTATGGTTCTGTACTCGTTCGCCGCACCACCTTTCTCAACTGGGCCATAGAAATTTTTACTACTTGTCGTGTTATTGTTTGTTGTTGTTCGAAAACTACATTTGGGAGAGAATTTGCTCGGAAACAAAGTTTTTCCTAAACCGAGTTGGCGCGAAACGTGTTTTCCGGTTGTTCTCTCTGCCGCACGGGTCTCTTGCTCGAATTTTCTACACGAATCCAGCCGACCGAGGCCGAGCAGACCGCAGCACAAAACTGTGTGCCTACCGTGCCTGTTCTGATATTGCGGCGTTCTTTGTGCACCGGTGAAAATGGAGCAAGTGAGTGTTTTCGTGACAATTTCTACGTATTTCCACAAGAGAATAGTGGCGAGGTTGCATTTCACATTCTTGCAGTCACCGTTACTCACTTTGTTTTTGATTTTGCCTGGCATTCGGTTAATATTGCACATGTTCTTGTGGCGCCCGATCAGGATGATTGTCGTTTCCGAAAGTCATTCAAATTTTTCCTTCTACGTTTTTAACGTTGAAATTTTAATTATTACCAGTTATTGTTAGTTTTTTTTCCTAACAGTGAAAACATAGCTGCATTTTCGGCTACTGTGAATCTAACCTGTACGAAAATCTCACATTACCATGAAGTTGGCTGAATGACTGGTCTTTGAATCATGTGAATATGATCTCATATTACCTGCTCTTAATATTGCTTGTGCCTTTTGCAAGAACTGTCAAATGTGTCATTCATAGTTGTGGCAAAATTTTCACTTTTCTCACTCCATTGGACTATGCCTGCTCATAATTATAAATTTCCTCCACTTGTTCCAGGTTAATGCGTTGAAGGAGAAAGGCAATGCAGCCCTACAGCAAGGAAACTATACTGAGGCCATTAAATTTTATTCTGATGCCATAGCACTCGACCCTACCAACCACGTCCTATTTAGTAATCGTTCTGCAGCATATGCCAAAGATGAGCAGTTTGAATTAGCATACGCTGACGCTGAGAAAACTGTGACACTGAAGCCAGATTGGGGGAAGGTATGTTTGGCTTTCACTTTTGTTACTGAAATGTTTATTGGTTCCGTACATTTCATTCTGCTTTGTGCTGCATCCAGGGTTATTCTAGGAAAGGAAGTGCATTGGCATACCTGGGTAGGACTGATGAAGCGATTGAAGCCTATGAGGAAGGGTTAAGAATTGACCCTACCAATGCCCAACTTGCAGAGGGGCTCAAAGAAGTGAAGGCCAAGAACCCACCTTTCCCTGGTGCTGGTTTAAATGCAGACCTATTTAGGTCACCTGATCTCTTTGTGAAGCTCCGCAACAACCCACAAACAAGAGCTTTCTTGGATGATCCTGAGTATTTGAAGATCGTCACTAAACTTCACACGGATCCAACAGCTAAACTGTTAGTTTGGAGCTGCACTTTGAATATTATCCACATTTACCTTGGGTAGTCTTTAATTTTATTACCCATTTATTTTACAGAGACAGGTTTGATGATCCTAGAATTTTGACAACTGTGTGTGTCCTCCTTGGACTCAATTTCACCATGGCAGGTGATGGTGACATTCCAATGGACACTTCTGAACCACCTTCACAACCTACCCCTCGCCCTAAAGAACCTGAAAAGAGAAAAGAGCCATCTGAGGATCTTTCTGGCCTCTCACAGAGTCAACTTCTGGTAATGGAGGAGTTGTGGTTGTATCATTTACTTGCTTTATTTTTCTTGATTTTTATTGTTTTAAGTCACGTGTGGTTTCCTTCCATAGGCAAGAAAAGAGAAAGAAAGGGGTAATGATGCTTACAAGAAAAAAGATTTTGAGACTGCACTTGCTCACTACAATAAAGCTGTGGAGCTGGACTCCTCAGACATTACTTATTTAAACAACATTGCAGGTAAACACAATTATAATTTAGGGTATAAGAAATTTTAATTTTGTGATCCCCTTACTTTTTTGTGGTTTACAGTCATAATATTTCCCATTTTTGTTTCATTACAGCTGTTTATTTTGAACAGAAAGAATATCAAAAATGTATTGAGCAGTGTGAGAAAGCTATTGAGATTGGACGAGAAAATAGAGCAGATTTCAAACTAATTGCTAAGGCATTCACAAGAATTGGCAATGCTTACAAGAAACTTGAGGTATTCCTTATGGCAGTTGGTTGCTGTTACATGAATGTTTCAATTTTTTTAAATTCTAATTCTTTTTAATTGTGATTTTACAGGAATATAGTACTGCCAAGGTCTATTATGAAAAGTCTATGTCAGAGCACAGAACTCCTGAAATTCGCTCGTTGCTCTCAGACATAGAAAAAAAGATAAAGGAAAAAGAAGCGAAGGCATACATTGACCCAGAGAAAGCTGAAGAAGCAAAAGAGAAAGGAAATGAACTGTTCAAAAAAGGTACTTTTTATCACGTATTTCTCACATTTAAGACATCTTTTCTCATTATTAACAAATTTCTTATTTTTTTGAAGGTGACTATGCCGAGGCTATTAAATATTATTCTGATGCCATCAAACGCAACCCTGAGGATAGTAAGTACTACAGTAATAGAGCGGCATGTTACACAAAGCTGGCAGCCTTTGATCTTGGTTTGAAGGACTGTGAGAAGTGCTTGGAGCTGGACCCGAAGTTCAGTAAGTACCATAGAGAAGTCTTACCTAGGCTGGATTATTCAAATTTTATGTGTTCACTTATTACATTTTATTTTCAGTCAAAGGATGGATTCGTAAAGGTAAAATTTTGCAAGGTATGCAACAACAAGGTAAAGCCATCTCTGCATACCAAAAGGCATTGGAACTTGACCCTGTGAATACTGTAAGTTAAAATAATGATGTACAATAACAATTGTCTCAATATCTTAGTGACTTGTCATTAAATTATTTTCTCTCTCTTTACAGGAGGCAATAGAAGGATACCGTTCATGTAGTGTGGCAGTAAATTCAAATCCTGATGAGGTTCGCAAGCGTGCTATGGCAGATCCGGAAATCCAAGCTATTCTTAGAGACCCAGCTATGAGATTAATCCTGCAACAAATGCAAAATGATCCAAAGGCCCTGAATGAGTAAGTATTGAGTATCACAAATCTCATAACAATTCCAGTAATTTTTAATTTTATTTGAAACTTATTTTATTTTTTTCCAGTCATTTGAAGAATCCTGACATTGCAGCTAAAATTCAGAAGCTATTGGAGTCTGGTTTGATTGCTATCCACTAAAACCCTCCCCCTTTCCACCTGTGATCATCATTAGGAAATTCATTGTTCCAGGTATATAAAGCAAATAACATCCTAAGTTTTAAAATCTTAGCTCTCCAGCTCTCTGGTGTGTGGCTAAAGGTGTTCACTAAAGAGACTGATATTTCTATTGAGGTTTTATTTACATCAAATCCCCAATGCTGTTGAGAGCAGTCTTTCCAGCATCATTTTAGTTTCTTTTTTCTGCCATCTAAATATTTCAAAGAGATTTTATCTCCTACTGCCAGCCATTCCTCTAGGTTAAATCACATATACTGAACAAAGATAGATGTTGGTATTATTTTGCTTAACCATGTGTTTTGTTTCTGATATCAACTGCTAGTATAGTTCTTAACTGAAATACGTTGAACTTGTCTTGCTGCTACATCATGTCATGATTTGTCATTAATCTGCTGTCACTATTATATCCTTTTAACTAATAATATGTA